TGCAGATGCTGAATGTCTTTTGTGGAGCAGCAAACACCTCAACAATCTGCTGGACTACAATATGTGTCACTGCAGACCCAATGTCCTTCTGTACAGATATCTGAGGCAACACAGCTGCTCTTTCACACACACACACACACACACACGCTCTCTATTCTTTGATATGCTTCATACTCTGTGTGGTCAGTTCAAAGCAGTAATAGAAATTAATTATTTCCAACCAGTTTTATGGGCATTTTTATCTTTAAGCCATTTTTTCTAAAAATGTGCACCGTCTTTCGAGTCAAATTCTTGCATTTGGGCTGTTACCAAGCAAATGAAATCAGTATAAAAAAAATGTATCTTTGCAATGCAGAGGAAACACAGAAGCTGCATTAGAAGTGGGATTTAGATGCATTTACACACTCTTTAATGCAGTTCTGAGGGACATGAATGCTTTTAACCTGCAGTTACAAATGCATAAATAATGTTTTGATATTTAAAACATAAAACATTAAAAACTGATGTTTGAAATTATTTTAAAAATAAAAAGGTACCTTAAATGTGAAATTAAAACTGCCAGTAGGTGGCAGCAAGTCGCTGTTAATAAGCGAGTCATTGCAATTGAACCGAATCATTTAAACGCTTGATTCATTCAGGAACAAAACAGCGTCATATTGCTCAGTGACGCAAAACAGTGCTGTGACTGTGTTTGAAATTATTTTTTGTTGGAGAAATAGAGCAAAAACAGGCAATATATTGTCTAAAATGTAAGTCTCTTAATATTATCTTCTTGTTTATTGAACTGTTGTATAAAATCATTATCACATCTGTAATCATGCTGACTTTTGCAGAAAAAAACGGCACTCTTCGTGTGATATTAACTATATGAAATTATATAAATATATACATTTTCTGCCCCATATTTTGGAATTATATATTTCTAAATGCATTTTAATAGACTGATTCATGCAGTGAAAGAACGCACTATAAATGCGCACGCGCACTAGTCTAACCTGCTAGACTTCATCACCTAATGTATGCGTGCACTCTGTAGGTGTTTTGTGTTTGCTTTTCGCAATATACTAGATAATATCAAATCGCACATTGTTAAAACAACAATTACGATATTATCGCAGACCATGCATATCGCACACACCTATTAGATTTTTATAATGCATTGTCTTCTTATCGATCCACCAGTTCACATTTAAAGCATGTTTGCAGGGTAAAAACATGCATCGATTTTCGCATTGGTCTGAACTCTGAACAAAACAACAGTTTTATTGAAAATGTTATTTATTCTCTACCAGCAGGTGGAGTGTTTGGTAGAAATATAACTGTTTCCCCAGTAACGCTGTACACAAAGCAGGCAGCACCGGACTTTGAACCTGCAGCGCTAGTGTTTATTTCATGAAATCATAACATTAGCCTTTTGAAGTTTAATCGTCACATTCAGCCATATCGCAATTCTGGTCTTTTCGTCCCCAAATTTAAGACCTCTTGAAATCATAATTAAGGCTTTCTTGTACAATTTAAGACTTTTTTAAGACCCGCTGAAATCGGGATAAAAAAGAAAATTTATATGTTAATATAAACATGCAAAAACATAGCTTATTGAACCAGGGGCCCCATTTAAAAAATGCATATTTGATTAGATTTAATATGAAATTCCATGGATTTCATCATACATCAATAGTGAGGAACAAATCAGGATGTATAAATGCAGAAACTGGCGTGTATATGTTATGTATACGCCTGAGGAGCATGTGTACGAACATTGTGCGCTCATATATTCCAGTAATTAAAATAATCCAACATTGTGTATAAGATGTAATAAAAATAAACAATCACTATATGCATTAAAAGTGTAATGCACACAAATAAGCAACGGTTTTGAGGTAAATATTTCACTGAAATTAATTCATTACATGATTTTCTGAAAACAAAATAAAAATATAAAATAAATATTTAAAAAAACTTATAAATATTATAAATATGTATTAACATTATTATATGTACAAATGAGCAACTGGTTTGTCTTATTTCACTGAAATTAATTTATTAATTACAAATTATTTTCTGAAAATAAAATAAAAAAATTTAATAAAATAAAAATAAAATTATAAAACGTATAAATAGACAATCACAATATGTATTAATATTTTATGCATAAAAGAGCAACTGCTTAGTGTTAATTGTGTTAAAAAAAGCCATATAAATAACAGAATGTGATGCATAAAGCAGATGCATTTAGAAACTTTTTTTGTGCATATGGACATTTCATAAATCTTTCACAGGATCATTCTGTAATTATCGAGCATTCACAAATGAACATCATGATACACATGTCTTCATAAACGAGGCTGCAGAAGTCCACCGTATGCACTTGATCATGAGTAACATCATCTGAAATACAACTGTTTCTCCGCTATGCTCTGGATTCTGGAGGTCTGGGCCACAATATTCACATTTATTCATTTAGCAGATCCTTCAATTCAAAGTGACCTACCAATGAGAATAAAACACGCAGCAGTCAACGACTCGTCCTGCTGTCAAACGAAAGCTTGCTTGATCTGCCGTCGCTGCAGAAGAGGAAACAGAAGCTGAATGTGAAAACACACTCATTACCTCACAATCTGCATACCGTATAACCACATATTACTACAGCACCAAACCACAGCCTCTTACTGAAGCTAAGCCATTTACAACCACCATAAACCATCAAGATGTCTAATTTAAAACGTGCTGGTTTCAAATTGCTCTGGATTTCACGTCTAACGCAGGAAGGGTGAGGGTTAACGGCAGAGTCACTTGTGCAAAACCAACTTTCCAGGAAGGAATCTCTCCGGGGTGCAAGTCAACGCCGTGAAAGTGACCTGCTAACGAAGAACAAATGCTGCCAGAAGCTGCTCTCAATGCTTCTTCATTGTAGAAGTAACAACCTGCAATTGCAGAGGCGTTTGGCAGGACCAGAGTGTTTTAAGTGCTTTCAGCGGTTACAAATTGTGCCTAACTTTGGTTTGTTTGAGCTTTATATATATATCATTTATATTTTCTCAAGAATACATTTACGTCGTGACGGTTTGAGGGATTTCAGTAACTATTTTATATAGTATATATATATATATATATATATATATAGGGACATTTTTGTTACTTGAAACATTGTTTTTTACGCATTATTTATGTACAGAATAGTTCCTGAAATGTATTTGACTCAACTTGACATCACTTTGTTCACCTTTACTATATAGTCTGAAAATATTATTAATGTTAACAAATTATACTCTTTTGAAAAGTCTAAGGGGCAATATCCAGTCAATGTTTTACGATATAGTATCAGATTTATGCAAAGTGACCCACATTTGATTTTCAACCATTGAAAATCGGTAAAATTCAGTTTGCACTTGGAGCCATTTTGAGATCCTCATATCAGTGGGATTAAACCATATAGGGCTTTAAAAATGAATACGCCAAAAGAAAAGTTTGTTAAGAGCCATAATCTAATAAGATATTTAGATAATTTTAATAATTCTTGAGTTACACGCATTACAACTTTGTTAAAATATCATTTCTGGCATTCAGAAAGGTATGTTCTATGCTATAATTGGTATGATTGAGGAAACAAGATACATTTCTAGTTTCAACATCATTTGTTCTTTAGATATTCCTCTTTAAAAGGAAAAAGGTATCAGCTGTATGCAAAATGAAACATTTGTTTTTTTGACCAGAGAAAAAAAAAACACTTTTGCTTATGGAGTCGCATTGAGATCCCCATATCTCTGGTTTTGAACCACATTGGGCCTTAAAAATAAAGATACTAAAAGAAAAGTTTGTTAAGAACAAAAATATAAAAGTAGATTAAGGACAACTTTAATCCTTCTTAAGTTACAGTCATGCAAACTTTGAAGAAAAACACAAAAAGTTTTTTTTATTTTACAATTTACTCATGCAGCCGCATTGAGATCCCCATATGTTTGTGTCTGAATAATATTGGGCCTTTAAAATGAAGATATCAACAGAATAGTTTGTTAAGAACCAGACTCTAAAAGGATATTTCAATTATATATTTAATACTTCTTGCACATTTTGGGGAAAAGCACACAAAAAGTGTTTTTTTCCCCATTTTTGAACTGTCACCATTGGCATACAATGTAACAAAGATAGCTAAAGTCAACAGATTTTACTAATAGAGCTACCAATCTCTGTGTAAAAATAACATCATGATGATGCCATCTCGCTAAAGTCATTTTTAACCCCCTGTAATTTGGCTCTGAATCTCAGCTGAAAATTTTCATTTTGACCATCATACAAAAATATGGATTACTCAGTAAACATTCAATGGCATTTAATATTTTTGGCTTTCTTCATCATTTATGTATTTCATTCACCAGAAAAAGATTTAAATAGGCCTAATTTTTAGTCGGGACCTTTGACACGAAATGACCCATATTTGGTTGATTTCACACGAAATGACCAAATGACCAAAAAAAAAAAAATCTGGGAAAATCTGAGGACATGCTAACAAAGACAAGAAAGGAGAAGAACTCTGAAGCAGGATGGCAGTGATCTGACCGCTCATCACATCCCGCTGCGGGGCCCAAGGGAGGCCCTACAAACACTTGTAACATTCCACTACACTCAGCATCATACTCCATCGCTATGGAAACAGCAGCTCCTCACAGGGTTAAACAGCCTTGACCTCAGCGTTGCCAGATCTCATAAAGATGCACAGCGCAGCAGATCAGAGACTGCATGCAGACACACAGAGACGCGTCTCACCTCATAAATCCAGCAGAGAGCACACCTTATCTGCTCACTTTCAGGAAACAACATGTCATTACTGGCCCACGGGGGGACAGACAGACACAGACTCCTTTACTGGCCACCAGTGTTTGATGTTTTCTGTAGAAATTCTGTCATTATTTACTTGCACTAAAACTCACTACTAGTATCAAGGTAATTTACACACACACACACACACACACACACACACACACACACACTCACACACACACTTCTTAGCTGTCCATCGTGTTCGATGATGATGCTTGCTCCAGAGATGGGAGTGGGGGGGGGGTCAGCGATGTTGCCACCTCTCATGGGCGTCGAGTCCGATCCTTGAGCCGCACACTCTTCCACAGATGGAACAAGGGAAACCAGATACCAGGGGGGTACCAGCCGCCCTCTGGTGACTCTTGGTGCATCTCTCGAATCGTCAGTCTTGGTTGGTTTGATGTATTTGAGAGACTGCAGTGGCACAGGTGACCTGCCAGGCTGACCTGTCGAGTGCCAGAGAGAGCTGCGTGAGGGGAATGTTTGCTCGCTTTAGGAGGTCCCTGGTGTAGTCCTTAAAACGCTGTTTTTGCCCATTAGTTGACTAGAGGACTTGGCGAGGCAGACGGTGTTCAGGCATGCGTATGGTATGCCCTAGCCAACGCAGATGTTTTTGGGCCACTGCTAGGAGAGATAGGACATGACCTCGGTTTTTTGAGCGTTAACCTGTAGGCCAAAAGATTAGTACAGACTAGATATTGTATTTAGGGCGTGCTGCATAGAGTCCGGGCTGTGGGTCCAAAATGGCACAGTCATCAGCATATTGAAGCTCACAGATTTGGCGGGACTTTATCTTTGTGCGGGCCTGGAGTCGACGGATGTTAAAGAGGCTACCATCAAGTCGATATTCCACCTGGACACCGTCTTCATGCCCCATGACACGATGGAAGAGGCAGGTGATGGCAGAGAGGAGGATGTTAAAGAGCACCGGAGCCAAGACACAGCCTTGCTTCACCCCAACGTTTACCTCGAAAGACTCAGACATGAGTTCTCCCGTGAGTACTCTGGCTTGCATCCCATCATGCAGCTGCTGTAGGATGCTGGAGAGATTTCTCCAGAGCAGCTCACGGTTGATGGTGTCAAAAGCTTTGCTGAGGTCGATGAAGGCTACGTAAAGGTCTTTGTGCTGTTCTCGACTCTTCTCCAGCAGCTGCCTCAAGACAAAAACCATATCTGTCGTGGATCTTGACTTCCGGAAGCCACACTGAGTTTCTGGAAGCACAGCTTCCGAGATGTGCTCGACCAATCTGCTGAGCATGATCTTGGCCAGGACTTTCCCTGCGATGGAGAGGAGAGATACAAGGCCAGCGTAAAGCTGGCCAGTCTACGGATTCTTCTGGGATCTTGCTGAGGTTTTCAGCAAGGAGCCGTCGGAGGTTGTCTTTGGTGGTGTGGTTGTTCAGCGCTGTACAGCTGAGTTTCTTGGAAGAGGCTGTCCTTGGGCTACGGGGTTGAATGCTCATGAGTAGACTGGATCTGACCATGAGGTGGTCAGTCCAGCACTCAGCTCCTCTCATAACACGGGTGGTAAGGACATCCTGTCTATCCTTTTGACGGACAATCACGTAGTCAAGGAGGTGCCAATGTTTTGAGCGTGGGTGCTGCCAGGTGGTCTTAAGCCTGTTCTTCATCTGGAAAATGGTGTTAGTAATGACCAGCTGGTGCTCTGCACAGAGAGAGAGGTGTCTGAGCCCATTATGGTTAATTTTCCCCACACCATGCTGGCCGATGACTTTACTCCATACCAGGTGCTCCGTACCCACTCTAGCATTGAAATCTCCCATGAGTATGAGCCTGTCCGTAGCCGGGGTTTTCTGTAGGATGGCATCAAGAGCTCTATAGAAATCCTCTTTGATGTTGTGCTCGGCATCAAGAGTTGGAGCGTATGCACTGATGAGAGTGGCGAAGCGTTTCTTTGTCAGAGGAATGCGCCATGTCATCAGTCTTTCATTGATGCCAATAGGGGATTCCGGAATGTGTTGCAGCAGTTTAGACTTCACAGCAAAGCCAACTCCATGGTTACGATGAGTGCCTTCAGGGACCCCCTTCCAGAAGAAGGTGTACCCAGCACCAGCCTCTTTCAAGGAGTCCTCCCCATGTAATCTGGTCTCGCTGAGAGCTGCTATGTCAATATTATATCTTGCGAGCGCCAGGGCCACCAACGCTGTCCTGCGGTGGGGCCTGTCAGGAGTTTCGGCCAGGTCCAGCAATGTGCGAACGTTCCACGAAGCAATGCTTAGCTTATTTTTCCCTTTAATTTTTCGACCGCAAGGGGGGATGCTCCGACGGTTGCGGCTTACCGTCTGGAGTGTGGGGAGAAGACAATTTTTTGACCACCTTTTCCAGGTCCTTCCCCATCACAGGGATGAGCAGTGTGGGGCTGCTCAGTCGCAGTGGAAGCTGCCGAAAAGACGCGCTGCTCCATCCCGCAGTCCTAACGACCATCACTCCATTGCCGCCTGTGTGCATGGTTTGGTTAGACACTCCCAGCCACATGCCCACCACCATTCCACATCGCCACAGGACTTTTAAATTTTTTTTAAGGGAGAGGAGAGGAGGGGAGGGGAGCAAGAAGCTTGCGCATAGGTATAGATTAGGGTAGGAGTGTGGGTGCGCAGACCTCACTCCCACCATCTTCACTCCTACCAGACAGACCACCAGTGGCATGAGAGAACCCATGACGACCTTCGACTGGCAGGAAGTTGCAGGGGGCTGCCGGTAGTCTGGTCAGTTGGACTCCGCCTATGCCTGCCCCCAGGTGCAGGTTTGTCTTCAGGGTTTGCGCCCCTAGCCACGGTACCCTCCCGAGTTAACCCACGTGGCTGTGGGGTTGCCTTCTTCCGCCTTCCCAGCCGTTGTAATGGTTCACACACCACCATCTTCCACCTGTGCCGTCGTTGAGGTCTTTACTATTTACCCATAGCTGGGGCTATTTACCCATAGCTGGGACAGTGGTTGACGGGCATCAGGGCATTTCCACTCATCGATGGGCCTGCATGCCACGTCTCTGGGGCCCACTGCTGCTCCGAGATCCCGTACAACTTAGCCTGGAACCGCAAGGGACCAGTTACCATGTGTGCCACGAGGAGGCGTGTACGAGATCTTGGCAGTGGAGAGGCTATGTACCGGCTGAGGAAACTTACACACTCGGCTCCTCTTTTCACCCCTGAAAAACAAAGGGCTATCCGGTGGCAGCAGCTGAAAGCAGAAAGTGATCATGCATGATGCTAGCTACAAGCACTACCACTCCAACACTGCTGCACTGACGCATCACACGCCCTGTGTGAAAGACACACACTAATAGAGCTACCAAAGCCGCCTCTATACGCACTGAGCTCTCTTTCTCGCATTCGTACACATTTCAATGGACAAATACACACATAATTATATCAAAATATCCCATAAATACAATCGGTTATTTCTTAAGTGAACGTAAAGAGTTGATGAATAAAACAAGTGTGTATTGGATCCGTGCATTGACAGCAGCCACACGAAATGACCAAAAAAATAAATAAAATCTGGGAAAATCTGAGGACTTGCTAACAAAGACAAGAAAGGAGAAGAACTGAAGAACTCGATGGCAGTGATCTGACCGCTCATCACATCCCGCTGCGGGGCCCAAGGGAGGCCCTACAAACACTTGTAACATTCCACTGCACTCAGCATCATACTCCATCGCTATGACAACAGCAGCTCCTCACAGGGTTAAACAGCCTTGACCTCAGCGTTGCCAGATCTCATAAAGATGCACAGCGCAGCAGATCAGAGACTGCATGCAGACACACAGAGACGCGTCTCACCTCATAAATCCAGCAGAGAGCACACCTTATCTGCTCACTTACAGGAAACAACATGTCATTACTGGCCCACGGGGGGACAGACAGACACAGACTCCGTTACTGGCCACCAGTGTTTGATGTTTTCTGTAGAAATTCTATCATTATTTACTTGCACTAAAACTCACTACTAGTATCAAGGTAATTTACACACACACACACACACACACACACACACACACACACACACACACACACACCTTTTCGATCCGTAGAGTTTTAGCAT